AACGGTCGGCAGGACTGACGGGAAGGGGACTGGTGGCCTCTGGGTACCAGGGCTGTTCCAGGAGCTTCCCAGGGCACCTTGTGCAACCCGAGGCTGCACAGGCCTCCTCAGGTGCACAGCCCACCCCTCCGCCCTCCGCCAGACCACACTGGGCCCCCAGAGCTCCAGGACTGGGGGAGGAAGCAGGCCGGGTGCTTCTCTCACTCGGTGGGGAGTCCCTCTGCAGGGAGGTGGCCTCCTGGCTCCCAGCCGGTCCTCTGGCTCGCTGGGTGCAGTGGGGGCCCGGGTCAGGAGGGGGTGTCGCAGGTGCTAAGCGATGCCCACATTGTAGCCTCCGCAGCCTGCGTGTAGCTAATTGGGCTGCAGCACCTTTGTGGCCCCACTAGGGGGCAGGGCACCCCACCCTTTCCCCAGAGCTGCAGGGCCAGTGGCCTTAATCTGAGAAGCATGTGAGGGGGCAGCCAGCCCGGGAGCCGCCCACCCTGCCCCAGGGCCAGATCTGGAGGCCCAATCCTTCTGCCTCTCTGACCTTGCCAACTCTCCCATCTTGGGCCACAGAAAAATAGCACCCACGTGTGCCTCCGGGTTGCAGGTCTCTGCCAGGCTGGGCCCCAGAGGGAGATCTGGCCCCACCCTGCCCAGGCATCAGCAGCCTGGCTGTTTTCCGGCTATGAGAGCCTGCAGGGCCCGTGCGAAACCCCGACACCACCCCCGCCCCGTCCGGCTGTGCTACCCACCTCCTCATACAGGGACATGCCCCGGGCGGTGTCCAGGCTCTTGGGTCTCTTGGCCTGAAAGAGTGGAGAGCCGGGTCACCTCTGCCACACGCACAGGCCGCCCAGGGCCCCTCCCTGCTCCACCCCCACCCCACCCCGGTGCCCACCGCTCACCGGCTGGCGCGTCTCCAGACAGACGTCAAAGCTCCGGGCTCGGTTGGGCGCCAGTTTCCTCAGGGGCACCCGCAGCTCCCCCAGGGGAGGTGGGCGGCGCCGGGGCCGCAGGCGGGGGTCTTCACACACGCACAGCCTGCTGGCCCCGCAGGTCAGCCCTAGCCGCAAGCCCTCCCTCTTCCCCACACCCCTGCCCCCTGTGGCTGAGTGGGACCCTCACCGCAGGGTCTTGTGCCTGGCATCCTGGCAGGTGAAGCCGTGGTAGGTGAGTGTCTCCTCCCAGACAGGTGCCCGCGTGCCCCGGATGGTGCGTGTCCGAAGCTGGCTGGCCTGGGGGCCAGGAGTGGGTCAGGGCCTCTGGGCCCAGACACCCGCCCAGCCCTCCCTGGGCCTGGGAGGGGGCAGTGGGGCGGGGCCTGGGTCTGAGCTCACCTTGCTGGGCCCTGGCAGCAGATTGGCCTTGACGTAGGTGTCCACGGAGCCCGAGGCCAGTGGCTTGAGGCCCTGGGGAGAGACAGTGGACGTGGGGCAGCCTGTGGCCCAGCCCCTGGTCCCCAAGACCCCTTCCCCATCCTCACCTTGGCACAATGAGCTGTGCAGTGCAGGGCACTGTTGTCCGCGTCAAAAAGAAGTGTGAACTCCAGGGTGCCCAGGGCAGCTGCGGGCAGGTGCAGCAGGGTCAGCCCCTACCTCGACTCCCTGCCCCTCCACGCGGCTGGCAGGGCTGTGCCCCTACTCACTGCTGTCGTCCGAGTCTCCCTCTGGCTCCGGGTCAGGCTGTGGCTGGGGCGCAGGATGGCTGGTGGGGGCCGGGGTCCCCCGGGCAGGCTCAGCGAAGGGGGAGAAGCGCGGGAAGTGGTGGGAAATGAGGCGGATGGGCCGGATGGGCCCGGGGTTCACGTCGATGGCCATGTGCTCCTGCACGCTCACCCGCTGCGGCCGCCCCCGGCCCGCCGGCCCCGCGCCCGCCATGGGCTCAGCCACAGGGCGGGGCTCAGGGGAGCCCGTGAGGACTGGGGCTGGGAGGAGTGCACCGGGCCCCCAAGGCAGGACGAAGAGGCATCGCTGGGGTGGCAGGCAGCAGAGGGGTCCTGAGGACAGAGCTCAGGGCTGGGGGCCCCCGTGTGGTGGACGCCCAGCTGGGTGCCTGCCCCACCGGCTGGGCTCCCTGCTGCTGCTGGCGCAGGTGTGTGCCTGGGCTGCTGAGCCGGACTGGGGCTGCGGCGCCCAGAGCCCCCACTAGTGCTGGGGCTCGGCTTCCTGCCCTGCCCCCTTCGCACATTGCCAGAGGGAGTTATTTTTACTGCGGTCATGTGGCCCCGCTCCCACCTGGAGGGCAGGAGGTGACAAAAGGGGTGTGGGGTGAGGAGGGGGTGCGTGGGAGGTGGGGGTGCTGGGGGAGCGCTAGCAGGCAGGGGGCGCATGGGAGGGAGGGACAGGGAGGGGCTGGGATGCTGGTGGTCCCTGTTATCCGGTGCCCTTGCCTGCAGGAGTGTTGGAAACCACACATCAGACGGCTCCAGCCCGCCCCCAGCCTGGAATGGAGTCTTAACCCATCCTTGGGGCGTCCCCTGGTCCCCTCACCGAGGCCCTTGGCACTTCACAGTGCCCCCCAAGGTGGGGCCCTGCTCCCCTCCCCATCTCCACATTGCTCTTCCTGGCTAGAGTTACAGAGTGAGGGAGAGACAGAGGTCTTCCGTCCCATGGTTCTCTCCCCAAATGGCCACAATGGCCAGAGCTGGGCTGATCAGGAGCCAGGAGCTTCTTCTGTGTCTCCCATGCTGGTGCAGGGGCCCAAGCACTTGGGCCATCTTTTGCTGCCTTCCCAGGCCATTAGCAGAGAGCTTGATCAGAAGTGGAGCAGCCGGGACTAGAACCGGCACCCATATGGGATGCTGGCACTGCAGGTGGCAGCTCTACCCACTGTGCCGCAGCGTCAGCCCCTGGCCCTTAGTTTTAAAGGGGCAGTCATGGGACCAGCACTGTGGTGTAGCAGGTTAATCCACAGCCTGCAGTGCTGTCATGCCCCACTTCTGATCCAGCTCCCTGCTCATGCGCCTGGGAAAGCAGGGGGAGATGGCGGAAGTGCTTGGGTCCCTGCACCCACGTGGGAGACCCAGAGGAAGCTCCTGGCTCCTGGCTTCAGCCTGGCCCAGCCCCCACTGTTCAGCCATTTGGAAAGTGAACCAGCAATTGGAAGATTCTCTCTCTCTAACTTTTTCAAATAAATAAAATAAAGCTTAACAAATGCGCTCATGTACTCATGTGAAAGGCAGACATCTTCCATGCCCTGGCTCACTCCCTCCCTGTATGACTGGAATGGCCAGGCCTGGGCCAGGCTGAAACCGGGAGCCAGGAGCTCTGTCCGGGTTTCCCACGTGGTACTCGAGCCACCATCCCCTGCCTTCCCAGGACTTCAACATGCACTCTGGCAAGGGGTTGCAGCCTCTCCAGTGGTGGCTTAACCCATGTGCCCCAGTGCCGGGCCCCGGTCACTGCCGCAACCCCCTCAGCTTCCAGAAGTGCCCATGTATGAGTGGGACCATGTGGGGTTCGCCCATTTCACTGAGCAAAACGTCCTCCAGTGTCACCCCTGTTGTTGGCAGTGTCCTGCTGTAAGGTGGAACAGTATTTCTGGGTGTGTGTGTGGCATCTTCCTTACCCCAGCTGGGATGCTCCGCCTTCTCTCCTTTCTCAGCTACTGTAACACTGAAATGTACGCGGGAGTGGACAGCTCTTCCACACACAGTCTTCAGTTCCTCTGGGTGCAAACCCAGAAGTAGGACTGCTGGGTCCACGGCACTTCTAGCCCTAGATTGTTGGGCAGCCTCCCCGGTGTCTTCTACAAGGGTGGCACTGACCTGGCTTCTCACGGAGAGCAGGCCAGGGACGTCTCCTCTCACCCTGCCCGATGCGGAGGAGACGGCCCCGCCCTCTGTGCTTTGTCTGCATTTCTCTGCGGTTTGGGGATGCTGAACATTTTCCCACACACCTGTTCGCTGCTGCTGTCTTCTTTTGAGAAATGCCTGTTCAGGTCCCTCGCCCATGTCTAAACTTGGGTACCTCCCTTTCCGGGATCTCGAGTTCTTCGTACGCCCTGGGTCTTAACCCTGATCATGTGGGTGTGTGCGGGCATGTTCTCCCGACACGTGTGCTGTCTCCTCACCCTGGGGATGGCTTCCTGGGCCACACAGAGGCTTTCCGGTGTGACACAGTCCTGCTGTTTGCATTTGTTGCCTCGGCATTTGGGGTCCCAAGGAATCATTGCCCAGAGCTTCTCCCGTTTTCTCCGTGTTCCTACCATTCCTGTCTGCTGTTGAAGTGTTTCGCCCAGTCTGCATTGGTTTTTGTATACTGAACAATTGAACCCCAAATGTTCTTGGGGCCACTGCTCCCCCACCCAGCCCAGGGGGTCCAGCCAATCCCCAGCGCCGCATCACCACCCAGTACCCTGGAAACCCAGCAAGCCTGCACTGGTTCAGGGAGCCGCATCCTGGGTTAGACGAGCAGGGAGAGAGAAGCTGTTCACTGTTGGGATGCTGGCGCTGGGCCGTCCTCTCCTCGCCTCCCCCACCTCTGGACAAGAGGCTGCTGGGAGTGGGGCCAGCGGGCGGCAGGCACAGCAAGAGAGGGAGAGACGTCTTAGCTCCTGCTGGGCTTTCCTTTCCTTTCTTGTTTTGGTTTAGATTTACTTGTTTATTTGAAAGGCGGAGTTAGAGAGAGAGAGAGAGAGAGAATCTTGCATCCGCTGGCTCATTCGCCATGCCGAGCTCAGGCCGCCCATCCCCTCGACTCTCCCAGAAGCTGGAAGCCATAACTGAGCTGTGACGCCACGGTCACCTAGGATGATGGACGTGCCATCACTTCCCTGGGATCTGGGTGGCCCCGGACCGGGCACCCCCAGCACTGGGGGGCAGGGCACACCGTGGAGGGGCCCAGGCACAGAGGAGGGCTGGGGCCAGCTCAGGTTCAGACCCCAGCCCGGAGTGACCTCGGGCAAGGCCTGGAGAGAAAGGCTTCCCGGAAGACAGGAGGTGCCCGCTGCCGTGGGGAGCAGCAGGGCTGGGCGTCTGCCCAAGGCCAGGCCCAGGAAGGTGCAGGAGGCCGAGCTGCCAAAGGCTCTTTATTCAGTCCTGGCGTGTAGCCGCGGAGGGCCGGGCGCTCAGCCGCCGGACAGCCTGGTGCCGGCCAGGCGGGGCTGGTAGGTGCCGGGTGCCAGCAGCTGCAGGGTGAACTCGGTGATGATGGCTGTGAGGCCCCAGACTCGGTGTGGTCCGTTCAGGAAGACAGGCAGGGTGTAACGGAAGTGGCCGCCCTTGCAGAAGTGGGTGTAGCCCTGGTTCTGGGTCTCCAGCAGGTGAGCCAGGGGCAACGTGAAGACCTCGTCCACCTGTGGGCAGGAGGCCGGGGGGAGGTGGGCGGGGGAACCGGCCGCTGCAGCCCCTCACTGGTACTGCCTGGCCCTCAGCAGCCCCCACTCACCTCCTCGGGGTTGGGCTGGAGGCTGTGCAGATCCAGCGGGCCCACGCCGGCCAGCACTGGCACCACCGTGGCCTTATGCTGGGGGGGATGGGGAGGGGTGGCGGGCGGTCATGGGAGGCGTGGCCTGGGGGTCTGACAGGAGGACCCGCCTCACCACCAGAGGGGTTCAGTGGTCTCAGCCAGATCCACACTTGGCCTCACCCCTAAATGTACGGACACCTCTGAACCTGCAGCACTGGTCCCTGCACTCAGCCCCCCCCCAACCTGCCAGTGTGCCCCCAACCCTCCTCCCCAAGCACAGCACAGCTGGCTCCCCGCCCCCTCGGCTCCACAGCTCCCTCTCCCGCCAGCCGGGTGCCCACAGGAGCCAGCAGCCGCCCCCTCCTCCCTGGGGCCCCGGCCCCCTCCTCCCTTGGGGTCCTGGCCCCCTCCTCCCTTGGGGTCCTGGCCCCCTCCTCCCTGGGGTCCTGGCTCCCCTCCTCCCTGGGGCCCTGGCCTCCTCCTCCCTGGGGCCCTGGCCTCCTCCTCCCTTGGGGTCCTGGCTCCCACTGGTCCCTGAGGTCCTGGCTCCCTCCTCCCTGGGGCCCTGACTCCCTCCTCCCTGGGGCCCTGGCCCCCTCCTCCCTGGGGCCCTGACTCCCTCCTCCCTGGGGCCCTGACTCCCTCCTCCCTGGGGCCCTGGCTCCCTCCTCCCTGGGGTCCTGGCTCCCTCCTCCCTGAGGTCCTGGCTCCCTCCTCCCTGGGGCCCTGACTCCCTCCTCCCTGGGGCCCTGGCCCCCTCCTCCCTGGGGCCCTGACTCCCTCCTCCCTGGGGCCCTGACTCCCTCCTCCCTGGGGCCCTGGCTCCCTCCTCCCTGGGGCCCTGGCTCCCTCCTCCCTGGGGCCCTGGCTCCCCTCCTCCCTTGGGGTCCTGGCTCCCACTGGTCCCTGAGGTCCTGGCTCCCTCCTCCCTGGGGCCCTGACTCCCTCCTCCCTGGGGCCCTGGCCCCCTCCTCCCTGGGCCCTGACTCCCTCCTCCCTGGGGCCCTGACTCCCTCCTCCCTGGGGCCCTGGCTCCCCTCCTCCCTTGTGGTCCTGGCTCCCCTCCTCCCTTGTGGTCCTGGCCTCCTCCTCCCTGGGGCCCTGGCCCCCTCCTCCCTTGTGGTCCTGGCCTCCTCCTCCCTGGGGCCCTGGCTCCCCTCCTCCCTGGGGCCCTGGCCCCCTCCTCCCTTGTGGTCCTGGTTCCCACTGGTCCCTAAGGTCCTGGCTCCCACTGGTCCCTGGGACCCTGGCCCCTCCTCCCTTGGGGCCCTGGCCCCCTCCTCCCTGGGACCCTGGCCCCTCCTCCCTTGGGGCCCTGGCCCCCTCCTCCCTTGGGGTCATGGCCCCCTCCTCCCTGGGGCCCTGGCCCCCTCCTCCCTGGGGTCCTGTCTCCCACTCCAGGCCAGGCATGGGATGAGGATGGTGTTGGGCTGCCCCGGCCTGATGGCTCACCTGGGCCCACACTCACCCGGTCCCACACGGGCCGCAGGACGCCCCACACGCGCTCAGCAGGCACGGCCAGCCCCAGCTCCTCCCGGGTCTCGCGCAGTGCCGTGTGCACCACGTCCTGATCCGCGGGGTCGCACTTGCCGCCTGGGAAACTGAACGGGCACAGGGCGCCTGGTCCTTGGGCTCTCGGGCCGTGCAGGGCTGCGGGGTCGGCAGTGACCCGCGGCCCGGGACCGGCCAAGCATCAGCTGCCCCTGCCCTCGGTCAGCAGCAGGCGGGCCACGCGCCCGCGGGCCAGCGGGGCGAGGGAGAGGCCCTGGGCGGCGCCAGCCGGGGCGGGAGGGTCGGGCAGCGGGAGCACGGAGCTCCGCGCCCGCGTGGACCGCCGGGGGTCCTCAGGTCCCGCCGGGGCGGGGGTCCAGGCGGGTTCTCCGCGCCCGGCCGGCAGGGGGCGCGGTCCAGCCCCGGCAGCCGGGTGAGCAGCCCGCGGGCCGAGGGTTGGGCCGGGGTCGGGACGGAGGCACACCCGGGGACCCGGGGGCCGAGCGCCCCGCAGAGGGAAGGGGGCCCGGCCGGGGTACCTGACGTCGCCCTTGTGCCTCCCGGCCAGGCGGCTGGACCGCAGCGTGTAGAGCAGCGCCGGGACCCCGCCCACGGAGCACAGAGGCACGAGCACCGCGGCCGCCGCGGGCCGCGCGCGGAGCCGGGCCGTGGCCCCGGCCAGCAGCTGCCGGCATCGCCGCTCGCCCTCGGCGGACAGGCAGTCGGGCAGCATGTCGAGCCGGCGCGCCGGGGACACAGAGGGCGCGGGGCCGCGCGAGGGCAGGGGCGGGACCGCGCAATCCTTCCCGGGTCCTCCCCGGGTCCCGCCTGCAACTGGAGGGGCCGGGGGCGGGGCCGGGGCGGGGCCTCTGGCGGAACTGGGCGGGGCTCCCAGGGCGGAGGAGCGGGCCGTTGGAGAAGATCGAGGGCGGGGCTGTCGGGGCGGAGCCTCTGGCTGGATGGGCGGGGCTTCCCAGGGAGGAGGGTGGAGCCGCTGGCGGCGATCGGGGGCGGGGCCTTTGGCGGAACGGGGCGGGGCTCCCGGCAGGAGGGAGGAGGGGCGGGCCGTTCGGCGGTCGGGGGCGGGGCGTGTCGGGGTCCTTGCCCGGAGCCAGGGGCCAACCGGAAGGGGTGTGGTCACGCGGGCGGGGCTTCCGGCAGGACGGGCGGGGCGTGGCCCGTGAGAGGAACGGGCGGGCTGGCGGCGGGACCCGGCTGTCCTCCTCCACGGGCTGCGGGAGGCGGGGGTCCCCTCGGCCGCGGGTCTCGCAGGGGCCCCGGATGTACAGAGTCCGGATGCCGCGGGGGCCGTGGGGGCCTGGCGTGGCCTCCGCGGGCCCCTCTCGCCCGGTCCCAGGCCCTCGCCCGCCGCGCGGAGTGTCCCTACCACTCTGCGGCCATTGCCGGGCTCCGGCCCTGTGTCCGGCCCGCCTTGGGTCTGCACCCCAGGGACAGGCGGCGCCGCCCGGGCACAGGGAGCAGGGGGCGGGGTTAAGGCGGCCTGCAGGGGTGCAGCGCCCCCACCTCTACTCGCAGGCGGGCGGCGCCCCCACCTCTACTCGCAGGCGGGCGGCGCCCCCACCTCTACCCGCAGGCGGGCGGCGCCCCCACCTCTACCCGCAGGCGGGCGGCGCCCCCACCTCTACCCGCAGGCAGGCGGCGCCCCCACCTCTACCCGCAGGCGGGCGGCGCCCCCACCTCTGCCTGCAGGCGGTGCCCCCACCTCTACTCGCAGGCGGGCGGCGCCCCCACCTCTGCCCGCAGGCGGTGCCCCCACCTCTACTCCCAGGCGGGCAGCGCCCCCACCTCTAACCGCAGGCGGTGCCCCACCTCTGCCTGCAGGCGGTGCCCCCACCTCTACTCGCAGGCGGGCGGCGCCCCCACCTCACCGTGACGGGGTGGGCCTGGGAATTCCTGCGGCCTCCCCCATGGACCCCCGAGATGAGAAGTCCGCGACCACCGTGCCAAATGGTTTAATGCTGGGGGCAGAAGCTGGGAAGGGGAGTCGCCCCGAGGCGGGAGCCCGCACGGCTTCGGCTCGGTCGCTGGGCTCTCCCTGCCCGCTGTCCTTGGGAGAGGAGCAGCCCGCGGGGAGGTGGGCGGGAGGACTTCCAGGGGGTGCGCATCACTGGGCGCCCTGGCCGGGCCCCAGGCACAGGGCGGTGGGGGACAGGAGCCCCAGCCCCGCTGGGAGGGGCAGGCCTCCCCCAGCCCTGTCGGCCGGGATGCTGGGGAGGGGGTACGGCGCTGGGCGGGCTCCCGAGATCTTGAGTCGGCCTGGGGCTCCGGGGTACAGTTCCTGGTAGGCGAGAGGCCTGTGGGTGGCCGGGGCCAGCGGGGCCTCAGGGGAGGGCAGCAGCTGCGGGTGGAGCCGGGCTGAGGTCCCAAAGGCGGAGGCTGAGTCTTTGTTGGGGCCTGGAGGAGAAGCTGGTCTGAGTGGGCCCCACGCCCCTGACACCCTCAGCCCTCATCCGGCCCTGCGCTGCCCTGGCCCCTCCACTGCTCCCCAACCCCAAGCTGTCCACCATTCAGCCTCCCCCCACAGCCCACCCCCGTCCCAACCTTTCCCGGCCCTCCCAGACCCGGCTCTAGGGCCATCTCCTCCAGGCAGCCCACCTGGCACCCCCACTTCTGCCCTCGGCACCTTGATGCCCAGCGGGGTTGCTGAGTGGGCTGCAGCTCCTTCCTGGGGGGAGAGCGGGAAGCGGACAGGGCCCCCCCCCCCCCCGCAGGTCCTGGTCAGCCCGGGACTCACCCTTCTCCCGCTGCGCAGGGTCCCTCAGCAGGCTGGGCCTGAGGCTGCCGCGGCTCGGGCCCGGGACACTGAGCAGGGGCCGGGGGGCCACGGGCCTGTGGGTGGGACAAGGTGAGGCGGTCGAGGGTCACGGTCAGGAGTGCAGGCCTCAGGAGATGCCCGGGGTGGGGCCGGACAGTACCAGGCGTCGGCGTCGCTGTCTCTGAAGCCCTTGGCGAAAGGGTTGCTGGCGATCTTCAGCTGGGTGATCTGCGGGGGCGCAGCCGTCAGGGGCCGCCCCTCCGCCCCGGGCCTGGGTCTGCACCCGAGGAACGGCCCCGGCCCACCCACCCGGTGGTTCTGGTAGGCCGTCACGGCCGTGAACTGCGTCTCCGTGAACACGAAGGACTTGAAGTTCTCCTGGGCGTAGCGCGCGCTGTCCCTGCGCCGGTCCACGAACACCACGTGGAAACGCGGCTGGTAGCGGTGCATGGAGTTGAGAATGATCTGCGGGGTGGGGAGCCGCAGCCGCCTCTGAGCCCCCTCCTGGGCGGGGCAGGGGCGCCCGTGTGGTCCCCCCGGGCTGCTCTGCCTGCCCGCCCCTGCTCCTCCCGCCCGTCCTCCACCCAGCAGCCCCTGCCGCCCGCAGACCCCGCCGCGGCCGCCCCCACACAGGGGACAAGCCGGGCCCCTCCACGGCCGCTGTCCCCGCCCTCAGCCCCTCCCCGCTGCTCTCCAGCCTGGCCAGGGGCGTGGCCTCGGAGCGTGGGCGCTTGCCCACATAAGCCACGCCACACCCTCTGCTCCCCGTCCTTGGGACCACAGCATCACTGGCACACACCCCCACCCCACCGGCAACCGCTTCCCGCCCGCCTGGACGGCCCTCTCTGCCGTCCAACCCCGCGCCCTGGCCAGCCGCTGCCCCGGGCCCCGGCCTCACGTGGCCGTTGTCGTCCAGCAGGTTGTTGGTGAGCTTGAGCTTGTCGAAGGACACGATCTGGCGCATCCACTGGGCGCCCTTGGCCGGGGAGTCTGGGTGGAAGTGCACGCGGCCCGGGGTGGCCGGGTCCGCCTTGCCCGCCACCAGCCAGGCTGAGCTGTGGAAGGCGTACCTGGGAGGGGAGTGAGGAGGCGAGTGCCCACCCCCACCTGGAGCTGGTCACTGACCCCCCACTGCCTACTCTGCCGGCTGGGCAGCTTGCAGACGGGAACCGGACCTCACTGGCAGACTTTGACTGACAGGCATTGGGGTAACCCTTGCTGCTCTGGGCTAGCCCGTCGCCCATCAGGCTGTTGGCTGGCCTGAGCTGGGTGCCCTCCTGCTGGTGCCCAGCCAGGCCCCGCCTTGCCCGAGGGTCTAATTCCTGGTCCGCACCCCCAGACCTGTATCTCTTGTTGTCCAGCGGGAGGAAGTCCATGAGCAGGGCGTAGTCGGCCAGTGCGTCCATGCCCCGGATCTTCACCTGGAAGGTGGGGAACATCCTCCTGCGGGGGGGGGGCGCTCAGCAGCCTGGGCGTGGCCCAACCAGGCCCCACCCCTGCCCCAACCAGCCCGCCCCGCCCCGC